GTGTGTGTGTGTGTGTGTGTGTGTGTGTGTGTGTAAGGATTGTAATAAGTGGCTAAAAGTGTATTTGAAATATCGACCATCGCGTTCGTAGTAAAACGGATGTGGAAATATTGAATGTCCACTGACACTGTTTGTCAAACGATTCCACTGGCTTTCCACGAACTACTTGTATGGCCTACCATGTACGGTGTTTGCTTCCTGTCACGAGGCGGCTCGTGCACACGAGCAAGTGTTGTTGTTGTTGTTGTTCTTCTTCTTCTTCTTTCTCTCTGTGGATAGCCGTTATCATTGGAAGGAGATGATAGCTGTTAGGAGAGGGGCATCGATAGCAAAATCGCCCGGGGATCGGGACAGTTAGTTCGTTCGAAAGGGACTCACCACTCGATAGGGAAACATTGTAAATTTTAAAAAAAACGGCGAAAAAAATGCGTTTGAAGGAAGAAAAGTCGGTCGTTCCGTTTGTGGTCAATTAGATCGCGATGACTTCATACCTTTTCATTTCGCATATTCACACTACGCTACCATCACGGTTGCACCGAGCGGAACAGTAAAAGGTTTCTGTTAACCATCTTATTCAGCACAATGACACTCTTATCTCCTCTTTCATTTCTTCGCAATATTTTCTGAATTCTCTATCTTTACACTGCACCCAATGTTCCACTCTTCCCCCTTTATACTCCTTCATCTGGATGGTTCGCCAAGAGAGAGAAACCAATAGCACCGCACGAGAGTGCATGGTTAATGGCTATACAATTGGCCTAATCACTTTGATTGCATCATTTCAGTAAATGATGTAATCAAATTGATTAGGCCAATTGTCCTTTCTTTTGGCGGTGGCGCAGTGGTTTAGTCGCTGTCACCGGCGTGCTTTGGACCCCGTGGTCCGAGATTCGTGCCCCGCAACCGCCACCCAACTTTGGTGGTAGGCAGCTTTGATGTCTTCCGATTGAATACCGCGCCTGACCTATCGGGGCCTTATGTGATTTACCACTCCAACTCCCGGGGTTTAGGTTTCCGGTTACCACCACTGAATAGCAGGCCTTCGTGACAATGGGGTCCGTCCCATCTGCTGTTCATCGCACACTGTTGTGTAGTAAAAAAACGAATCTTGTCATCCTTTTACAAAAATGGATCTCTGTTTGTGTGTCCGTTTCTGTTACTCCCCTTGAACACCATCAATCATGAGTTGTGGATAAAGTGAGGATGAAGTTCATGATGATCAATCAAGACCGATGTGTCATTATTATTATTATTATTGCCACTATCATTATTGTATCGTCACTTCATAGTTACACGTGAGCAGCATGTATTATCCCTCCCGTTTTCTGATTGTTCTCATTCGCCTCGTTTGGTTTATCAGGAAATGACTGACGGATTACGATTTCGTACCCTACGCTGGAAGTTTGTGTCGAGCATCGAACCACCTCGTGTCGTACAATTGCGTACGCAGGAACTCATGTCTAAAGATAACCTGTTCGGTCAGGTCACTGTCCGTTTTCATACACAACAAGTGAGTGCATGTAGTTTTCAGTTTCAGTTTGTACAACCATTAACCATGC